GTGTGGTGTGTGTGTGCGTGTGTGTGGTGTGTGTGTGTGTGTGTGTGTGTGTGAGAGAGAGAGAGAGAGAGAGAGAATGCGTTGAGTTGTACTCGGCTGATTTTGACGAGAATCCTTGTTGCTCGTTGGGTACCATGCAGAGATTGCTTTCTGCATCGGACCGTGATCTTCCGAGTACATGCTCTGCAGCTCTGAACATTGTTCTGATTTCTACTGGCACGTCCAAGGCTGTGCTGAACGTCGTTGCACTGCAACCAACGTGTCTCAGTGGTTGATGTCACTGTGAACGTGGAGAACAAGGGCTGCGCTGCTGAGGATATCAATCACGCTTTCCGTCAGGCTGTGGATGGACCATGGAACTGAGTTCTCGCTGTCTGTGACGAACCTGTGGTCTCCGACGACTTCCGTTCTACAGCCATCTCATCACTGTCCGTTGACTGCTCACTAGCCATGGTTATGGACAAGGACATGGTCGTAGCATGGTGGGACAATGAGTGGGGCCACAGGTAAGAAAAAATCAACCCCTTTATAATATAGCCTGTCTTTTTTTCTCTTTTTTTTGGCCTTTCACTAGCAACGTACCCCTACTCCTAATGCTACATGGAGGGGACCCGTGGAGGGAGATCCCACTACGGATGTATGTGGATTAGTGTTTAATGGTGTGTGACTGTCAGGCATTGTGGATTTGGCAGGAAATCAGCGGTAGCCTGTTTCTGTGAATTAAGGCCGGGGGTAAGGTCCCACTTGCGCAGATTAGGAGATTTCGGCTGTTGATCTTTGCTATCTAAGGTCATTATCTCTTTATTCGTGCAAGTGGGACCTATAGCCCCGGGAAGAAGGATGTTCTTGTTTGCTCTCCCTGTTTTTTTTTTGTTTTTTTTTTTGGGTCAAACAGCCCGAGAAGGTTGCTAGGGGTGCTGATAAGAGCAGACACCCGGAGCACTCTCTGGGAGGCTCCATCTATTGGTGGGGAGCAGCACCTGCTGGAAACCGGGTTGCTAGGGGTGCTGAGAAGAGCAGACACCCCTAGCACTCTCTGGGAGGCTCCATATATTGGTGGGGAACAGCACCTGCTGGAAATCGGGTCGAGCGTCCCATTGACAACCTTGCTGAGAATCAGGCTCAGCGTCCTTTAAGAAGTACTCAAGAGGATACCAGCAGAGATAGTCTATACCTCCAAAGCATTTGCCTGTCTAGCTCAGTAGATTTCATGCCTGAGCGGCACCACGTAGGTGCTGGGTTCTATTCCCGTTGCCGTCACTTCAGTGGCCTGAAGGATTGGTGACCACGGCCAGTCAACACTGGTAAATCGCTGGGGCGAGTTGTGCCGGGTACAGGTCCTGCTGCGGCCGGTCGGGACACACCCAATACACATCCAATAAAAAGAGCTCTTAGGTTGAGTTCTTAGTCAGAATCATCATAGCTGACATTCATAATTACCATGCTTATCAGGGTTGAGACCCTCAATTTCATGATATTTCCAGAGGCAAAAAAACTCTCAACATACCTGTCACAACATAAGCTCAATAAGGAAGCTCAATAAGTGATGATCATGACATAAAATCTACAATAATAACTTCCATAACAATCTCGAATTACCCAGGGCCCGTCACCTGTGGATATATCTCAAGACTGCCGCCGTTTTTTTTTTTTGTTTGGAGTTCTGGGAGGAAAAGGCGTCTCTTCGCCCTGCTGCATGGCGCTTGACTGTCCTTGTGTTCCGGACCTCCTGCCTCCCTTTGAATGCAGCCGTTGCTTATGAAGTGATTTACCAGTCCTCCCGGGGGGCACCAGGACTTGCTGTGTGGAATTGCACTGTCACCCAATAGCCGTGGTGTCACACTATAACCTCCACTTGGTAGGTCTGTCTTTTGTTTTTGTTGTTGGGGTCCTGTGGATGTCCCAAACGTGCGTGAAATCACAACCAAGTTTTTGGGTTCGTGAAATCACACGTATCACTGACGGCGAAGGCAAAGACGAAGGGCTTCATCGCTGGAAATTGATTGTGGTTTGGGAGGGTTCCATCCCCGCACCTACAGCAAATGGTGTATGGAGATACTCTTGCCCTCCTTTGCCAAAGAGAATTTCTGTAGGAACAATTCCTGTCAGAACAATGGAACAGCAACTCTTGCCCTCCTTTGCCAAAGAGAATTTCTGTAGGAACAATTCCTGTCAGAACAATGGAACAGCAGCGTGCACTGTGGCCTATTTCAAGGAAGCCTCAGACTATTGTCAATGAATATGGTCCGTGTGCCCACTCACATGCAGTCGTCTTGAATGCCACAGCCATGGTCAGTGAATCATACCCTGACATCTGACACCCTGCCTGGGGCGGACACCGTCTGTGAGAAGAGCACTTTCTTTTCTTTTGAGCGAGTTTTTTCTTCATTTGTTTGGTCATGAAATGGGTTTTTGGCACTTTTTGCGTTTATTTTCCCTATTTCACGCTGCCACCCACCTGTCCCACACCCGGCACACTCATCCACATACATGGCTAGTGGGATCTCCCTCCTGCAAGCATAGGGCCTCACAAACTTATTCATGTCGCCTCCGGCCCAACAGAAGTAGTCAGAGATATCCTGTCTGTTTTTAAGGTTTTTTGAACTTTTTTCCCAACTCATGCAGTGTTTTGTTTTTCCTTTCTTGGGAACGGACCCCACAGAAAAGCGCTTTGGAAAAGTCGGGAAATGTTGGAAAGCACGAACTGTCGCCTAGGGGAACGAGGAGACGGGAGATGGACCTCACCGCCACAGCAATTTTTGGGACCTTTTTTTTTTTTTTTTTTAAGTCCAGGGTATTGTAGAGGTCAGTCAATGATTGGACAGTGATCACCTGGAACTGTGAGCCACGGGTGTCCTTCTAAGACCCCATCCCAACCCATCCTCACGTCAATACTCCTAGCGCACCCCCTATCCCACTATCCTACCTCAGTGTGACCAGCACTCAGGACTATTGCCCTACCCACGAGCAGGCAACTTGGACCGAACAGCAGTGATACGCACCAGGGCTGATGGGTTACCCAGCCCTGGTGGAAGCGGAATTGGACGAACCTTGTCGAACAGGAACTTCGGACGCCAGGCCAAGACAATGAACTACAGGCCCCCATATATCTAGCCACCAGACAGTTCTATTCGAATGTCAGTAGGAACTGCACCCAATCGCACCCTATCCAACCTACCCGAACCTACTGCAGGCACTAGACCCCACCAGTGACTAGCCCCCCAGTCTGTTTTTTTGTATACATATATATTCTGTGAATCTATGTTGGCAGTATCATGTGTGGAACATGTGTATATGGTTGTATGATGCACCCCACCATGGAGCATCTGTGATGTGAATAGCCACCAGATCGTTCAGAATCTATCCGAATGACAGTAGGAAATGCACCCAATGGCACCCTATCCAACCTACCTGAACCTACTGCAGGTACTGGACCCCACCAGTGACTAACATGTGTGTACTCTATGAAGTCATGTGTATATATATCAAGGAGAGGACGGGGCAAGCTGGACAAGAACCCCCCCCAAGGATCAAGCCAGGCTCGAACCCGTGCCCTGTAACGTGTAACTCCAAGACTCTACCCATATGAAGAACCACCAGATATGGATCAAACGTGTGATATGCCAGACTGGGGAGAAACCAGAACACCTGCAACCAACACCCCAAGCAAACCCTGTGACAACCACAACCAACATACAATACCGTGGACTACCCTTGGGTGGTGCGCAGGCAGTGTCTGTAATAATAGTACCATGCGTCAGCCCAAGGGAATGTGTGTGCTGTCGGGCGTCAATCTAATGCCCTGCCGGTGTCCATGCGCAAGGCTGCAGGGTCTTGAACCTGCAACCTTATACCACAATGCGCATTTCCAACCGGTGCTCTAACCACTGAGCTACATCAACTGGACTACTTTTTTTTTTTTTTTTTTTTTTTTYTTCCTAGTTTCCTGTTACTGAATCAGGAAACCTTGCCCGGAAAGGCAAGCAAACCGAAGCCTAGGGGAACGAGGAGACGGGAGATGGACCCCACTGCCACAGCAATTTTTGGGACCTTCCTAGTTTCCTGTTACTGAATCAGGAAACCTTGCCTGAAAGGGCAAGTAGACTTCCACTTTTACAGCACTCCATCCAATCCCAGTGCCTCCTTTCCGTACGGGGTGGCTCAATGAAGTGAGTAAGGGGGGGGACTACTCTCGAGCATCCCGTGCAGAAAGGGGGAACAGGGATTGGATGGAATGCCTAGAAAGAGAAGGGAAGAAGGAGAGGAAAAAAAAGAAAGGGATTGGATGGAATGCCTAGAAAGAGAAGGGAAGAAGGAGAGAAAAAGAAAAGAAAAAAGAAAAGAAAAGAAAAGAAAGGAAGAGTATGCCCAAATTTCCGGCACGCAGTGGAGTCTCAAAAAAACTCTTCCAAAACTTTCCGCTGGCAGTGGGGTCCATCCCTTGATTGAAGAAAAAAACTCTTCCAAAACTTTCCGCCCGCAGTGGGGCCCATCCCTTAATTGAAGGGTGATGGTCTTTTGTATCATCATTGAACTGACCGGGCCATCATTATTGGAATGTCACCGATTAGTATTATTTCACTTTTCGTAATTCACGATGATTATCTTGCTCACTGTGCTTACATCTGGATTAGAACTCATGTCTGTATTTCAACAGGTCATTGGTGTACCAACTGAGCTACAGTCTTCCCCCGAATACAACGTACGGTCATTACAAGCTGAATTTAGATTGAAAGATACACCAAATTCAGCCATAATGACTGTACGTTGTTTTCGGGGGAAGACTGTAGGCTTCTTGGTGACTCGTCCAGTTTCTCCTCCTCCATTTCCCGGAACTTTGTCACTTCCTCCCTCTAGGGTCTTCACCCCAATAGAACGCGCTGTCATTGTAGTTGTATTTGGGGCAACTTTCAGTCTAGATACAACTATAATTATTGGGCATTCTATTCGGGGTGAAGACGGTAGCCCAGCTTTTCCGCCCCTTTGCCATCCTTCCTGCTCCCTCCCCCTCTTTTGTGACAGTCTCGTCCTGATCCCGTCTTAGGCGCTGATCCGACATTACGTAAAAAGAGAAAAAAACAAAGGCAATGGGTCGGACGGGGTGGAGAAGCAAACTGGGACCCCACAGATGTGACGCGCAACCTCACGCCCTGTACTGTCTTCCGTTCGGAGTGCTAGAGGTGCGGAAAAAGAGGCCCAGAAAAACAGTAAGATGGGGTGTGCCAAGGATTTTTGGAAATTGAGTGTGGGGACACAGACGGAACTGAAATCCCCCGTGTTGGTCCGATGAAGTAAGTCAACCGTTTTTTGTACGTCGCAACATGCGCGCAAGAGTTTGGCACGACAGGAGGGAGAAATACAAATTCAATCCAAAAAGTATTGCCTTACTTCCCACCATGCTACGGCTCTTCGTTTAGAGCGAAAAGGCTTCGGCACGCTTCACGTGTCTCGTCTTCGTATTAAGTCCCGACGTCGTTCACCAGCCAGTTCTGAGTCCGGCGTGGAGGGTCGCAGTAGTGTGGCTCTTTCTCTGTGCTCGTTTTCACTCCGTTCGCGGTAGTGGAAACCCTTGGATTCGTAGCGCTCAAAGCGCTGGCACTCGGTGCATAGAGTGCGAGGCCAGTGGGGTTCCACTGCCGCCCACGGGGTGACGATCAACTCGTTAAATGGCAACAATACCGAGTAAGGTGGAAAGTGTGTATCGATAATGACAAACCCAACCTCTACGAACCCTGAACAGCGATTTTCCAGTGGGAAGTGATATCGTCCGCCGATCCGTGCGACAACTTCTCGTACGTCCCACTCGCACACACGTGTCTTTTCCTCGTCGTAAGGAAAAGGTCGCGTTGAGACGGGAGATACGGGAGGCTGACGCCCGATCGAAGGGCGCTTGTCAGTCCACATGTCAATCAATTGCAAAAATCCCGAGACGTCATCAAGGGAAAACACTCGCACAACCACAAATCAACTCTTTTCGACACGAGAGAGAGAAAACACTCGTCAGCTTGATCATGCATGTAACTGAGGGACCGACCTGCGACTCAGGTTTAGTAAGCCACTGTGACGTTGATCCCAAGCGCCTTGTTTCTCGAGGCTGCCCTGTAGATCGGTTGCAGATGTCGCGCAGCATAAAGCAGATGGCATGCGCAGTGCATTCAAAACTACAGATCTAAACACTCTTGCATTCTCGGATAAAATCCCGCCGAGTGCGGCGTCTAATCAATACAAAAAAGACAAACATCCCCATACATACATTCACTGTGGAAGGTGCAAAAATGACCGGGATACACAGGTCGGAAATCAACCGAGGGAATTGTACACACGCATCCACCGTTCACAAGACAAGAGGATCAATTCCTCGACATCCGGGGATTACCCAGGAAACTAATGCAAGAGTTTCGGAAGAGGTTCCTTCTCACAGGAGAGCACACAAATTCATTCTCATTCATGAGAGGTACAAGCATCAAGACACATCGTCATTCAAAGATAGAGGGGAGAGAGAGAGGAGAGAGGAAGGTCGATATAGGAGATGACAAAATCCGAAAAGAGGAAATTCGGCGTTGTCTCCGTACACTCACGCCAGAGATAAAGATCCGCAACAACAAAGGCGCATTCACCGTGAATTCCAATATGGCCCCGGGCCAATCACCCACTCAACTCCAATCAT